GGAAGCGCTGGTCTGGTTTTGCTAAGGCACAAGCCATGGAATAGGCTGTCTAGTTGGTGCCATGTTCATCCTTGCGTGTGGCGACTGGCTAGGCCGTCGCAGGTCTGTCATGTTGGGTGCAGCCATTATGATCCTCGGCGTTATCATCCAGGTCACCTCGTTCCCCGGTCATATCCCACTAGCTCAGTTCATTGTTGGACGTGTTGTCACTGGCGTTGGGAATGGTATCAACACTTCCACTATTCCAACCTACCAGGCAGAATGCTCTCGGACTACAAACTGCGGTCTACTGATCTGTATCGAGGGCGGTATTATTGCCTTTGGAACTTTGATTGCATACTGGATTGATTTCGGCGCCTCTTACGGGCCCGGGGATCTGACATGGCGCTTCCCTATTGCATTTCAGATTGCTTTTGGCATTGGTATCATTGTTGGGATGTGGTATATGCCTGAATCTCCCAGGTGGCTCTTAACACGAGAGAGATACCAGGAGGGAGAGGAAGTGATTGCAGCTCTGTGGAATGAAGAGGTCAATTCACACGATGTTCAGTTGCAGAAAACATTGAATCCGAGCGTAAGTTTGAACTACCTTCTTATCCTCCCTTCTCATTGGACTAATTTAGATTCTTGTTATAGATCCGGCCAAATAGGTAAATCGACACCATTGTCCGCTGTGTTCACCAGAGGAAAGACGCAACATTTCCGCCGCATGTTGCTCGGCGCATCTTCGCAGTTAATGTAACAGATTGGTGATTGTAACGCTGTGATTTATTACTTCCCTATTCTCTTTGAGAAGTCCATTGGACAAACCCACACAATGTCCATGCTTTTGGGTGGTGTGAACATGATTGTCTACGCTATCTTTGCTACCTTGTCTTGGTTCCTGATTGAGCGCGTCGGAAGACGTAAGCTTTTCCTCTGGGGAACAGTAGGACAGTGTGTCTCGATGGTTATCACTTTCGCTTGCTTGATTCCTGACAGATCTGAGCCTGCCAAGGGTGCTGCAGTCGGTTTGTTCACGTACATTGCCAGCTTTGGCGCCACCTGGCTTCCCCTGCCCTGGCTCTACCCAGCTGAGATTTCCCCAATCAAGACCCGTGCAAAAGCAAATGCTCTTTCCACATGCACCAACTGGCTATTCAATTTCTTGATCGTCATGGTTACCCCGGTTATGATTAGCAATATCAGCTGGGGTACGTATTTGTTGCCGATTATCTACTTCTTTTACCCAAGATATTATCTTTGCCAAGGGATATACGGAAAATATTGGTTATGTGCGCGCTGCCGCGGAGCTACCCTATCTTTCTGATGAGGATGTGGAGCGTATTGCTATCCAGTACGGTTTTGGTGCTCCCGATGCTCCCGATGCTCCCGATACTCAGGAGAAGTCTGGTGCGGAAAGTGATGACTCTATTCCTCCTACTGCTACGGCTATTGTCGAGCAGGCTGGAAAGCACATTGCAACGGTTGCTTAAATTGGTTCCATTGAAAACCAACCTTGCAGTTTTGTCTCCTTAGCCCTTTTCCTTACATGCATACCTGTTCACTTTGCATATCTTCGTCACAATGGATGATATGTATGGATAGATGAACAATTCCTTCCCCTTATGTTTCTTTCTGTGTTTTCTATTGAGCTCAAAGGAAGGCAGATGGATGTCTTTCCTCGATTTCCGCCATGGGCCTACAGAATTACCTTCACGCGATACTTTCATTTTTGTTCAAGATACCATCAGAAGATTTGTATATACCTTGATTTATTATGCTGATTCTCTGGTTGTAACTACATATCAGCTAGTAGGTAGTACCTCGCTCTGCCTCAGATCCGTCTGTAATATTATTAATTACGCACTCTAGTGGGATATTTGAGCCTCCTATCAGTATTCACCATAAGTACATATACAATTGTATATGTGTATAGCTTACAAGATTTAGCACACTATCCATGATCTTACATGTATATTCTTAAATGCCAGGAGTACGGAAATAGAAATAATTGAAATTTAATTTTTCATTCCATGAAATTGAGGCACTACGGTGAAATGAGTTCATGCCGTTCCTTTCTTGCCCAGGATAATACTTCCTGGTAACACATAGTCACCGTAGGGGGCAACATCATATTCTCCAAGGCATGAGAAATAATGACATACAACTTCTCGATAGTCTGCTGAAATAATCTTGTATCCTGGATTTCTCGATCATCGACGGCAAAAACAAAGTCTTCCGACAATGGAGCAGCGATGCTGGGGGAGATTTGCACATTGGTGCCTCTGTTGCCCGATCTAGTAGTGGTGGTGCCTAAAAGTACATATTTGGATGCCATTATGTTATCAATATAATTGAGTTCGCTGGAGAAGTCGGACGCCCAGATTTGGGCGGCTTTGTGTCTCAGGTCAAATTCTTTCAGTAGATGGCTCACGGAAAGCAGAAGGAGATACCACTGGTTTAAAATATAGCACACTTCTCTTGAATGGTGTATTGGCGTTTGGCTAGTTGTTGTCCCTGGAAGGAACCATTCGCTTGGGACATGGTACGGCCAGCTTTTTAAACGTTCGAGAAGTTGTAACAATTCTGTTTGCAAATGCAGATACGTGCTGCAGTCCTCTCTTTCTAAGCTGTATTTTAGAGATAGCATCATAACCGCACACGCATCAAGTTCTGTGGCGGGAGTATAAGAATCGCACAATTGGCGGACTTCATCATCCAGAGCCCACAAATCCCAATTTCTTCTAGGTGGCCCGATGCCGGAAATTGTAAGACTAACTGCATTATGTCGAACAGCGTCGAAAAGGGCAATTGATGTACTGTCTTGGAAATTCATTGCCCCTCTCTTTCTGATCAAAGCTTCGGCACCGTTCTGGTGAATCATAAACATCGCCTCCCTTGCTCTGCCTTTCTTATCTTGCAGGTACTCACCATACCCAAGAAGAACCACAGCAGCCAGTGTTTCGGTTTGAACACTTTGTACTGGATCCTTGGTAGCGTTCAGAGTGTGCTGGATGGCACTGGACATCAATTGGCTCTCCTCCATATAGTATGGTCTGCCCTTGTTGTGGAAGCCCATGACCAAGACAGCCAGCCAGGAGGTAGCCAGCGCAAGTGGAGAATCGGCGGCGACTTTCTGATACAGAGACTGTAGAAAGTCTAGATGGCCGTGACTCAATCGAGCATCATATTTTGGCAGTAGCGTACTTGAAGTGAACAAGGCAGATAATGCACGCAACTCCACGCTCTGGGAAAGACATCTGGACACAGAAGCAGGCACCTGCGGGGCAGCAGAAACAAGTTCTTTTGTGGAATATGTTCCTTGGTCGGGTCCCCTTCCAGGGCGATTATTATCTTGATGCCGAGACACAACAGACGCGGTCTGATTTCTAAGAATCATGTCGAGCTCATGGCCATAACCAGGACAGCTGAATCTCAGTCTGACGCATTGCCAACATGCTGGACGCTTTAGATCGCACTATCAAGGCTGTTAGCTTTCTTTTCTTTCCGAGTTGTGTTTGGTAACTTGATAAACTTGCCTTGATGTGGCGGGCTTTGCACCTTTGACAGCCCCTCGCGGGGCCGCGGTAAACCATACAGAATTGGTTGGTCAGGTTAATTTTCACGGCTTTTATTCGGGCAATTAATTGAGTCTAGCAGTCATCAGCATCTCCCACTATTGCGCGTTGAAGAAAGGAAAAATCATGGAAATCGTGTGTCGGTAAATTTTGTCAAGGATGAAATAACTCTATCTCAAGAGTTACCGATGTAGGCTAGCTTCATCCCGTCTGTTAATTATAAGCCAATCCCAATAAGGAAACATATTTTAAACCCTAGCAAGATCTTCATGCACAGAGGGCACTTTTCAAAACGGTGTCTGAAATATCGAGTAGATAGAGCAGCCTCGTCACATATGTATAAATTGAGTTACAATCGTTCAGGGATTACAATCCGCGGCTTGCGTCAGTTGAAGTCTTGAAGGTTCGTTTGAAGCATGTCTCAAAAATTACCGAATTAGGAAATGACTTTATCTCTCGCTTACTCAAGAGCAGATGACGGAAATTCCAGCTCATGTATAAAAGGAAGTCTGATTTCCCGCACCATCAGCCTTACACAGCAGAAGTTGGCAAATTTTATCGTGAAGCAAAAGTTGAAATGGCAGTCTTGAAATACCTCAACAAATTGCAAGGCAAAAACGTCCTAATATTCGGAGGAAATTCCGGAATAGGCTATGCGGTCACAGAAGCATTGATAGAGCACAATGCGAGGGTCACAATTTGTGGATCTAGGCCTGAGAAGCTTAAGGATGCGGTCAGGCGTCTTCTAGCATCTTATCCAGATGTGAAAGAAGGCCAAGTCAACATGATACAATGTGACTTGTCACCACATGATGACCTGGAAGCTAGAATTCGCCAAATTTTACATGATGTTTCTTCAAATGGAGATCAAAAGATCGATCACATTGTCTTTACAGCTGGAGATACAATGAATGTTGCGGGCGGGATTACAGGCACTGATATCGATGTCATCAACTCTTTGATGGGTGTGAGAGTCTTTGCGCCTGCCCTAATCGCCAAGGTTATTGCCACGAGTGAATATGTAAACCATTCGGCAACAAGTTCTTTTACCTTCACATCTGGGACCGCCCACATTCGTCCTCGCAAGACATGGCCCATGGTTTCTATGTTTTCTGGTGCACTTCAGGGTCTGGCTAGTGGACTCGCAGTTGAGCTCGCACCAATTCGTGTCAATGTTGTTAATCCTGGCTTCTTCCAAACGGAATTGGCCAAAAGATTGCCGACTGAGGTGTTGGAGGAGCGAAGAAAGGCTTCGCTGACGAAGAGACTGGGACAGCCGGAGGATATTGCGGAGGCATATCTCTACTACATGAAAGATACATCGGCAGATGGAACTGCGATTCGCTCTGACTGTGGAACAGTTTTGTCGGGGTAACCATGGCTAAATAGATGTCAACTTTCTTCTAGCGAGAGGAAGAGAGAGCTTCAAAGCTGTTTCTAGCTGTGATTAATCATGATGTACAATTCTAGTGCCATCCAACTTATCTTGGGATCCTCATTGATTTTGACTAGGATTTAGGAATTAGGATTTAGGATTTAGGATTTACGGACTGCTTATCTCCGCTAATCATCACTTGGTGGGCAGGCCGTTCGCTCTATATGACAATATAGATACTTGGCCCAACTCGCAGTCTACTATATTTTGCTGTGTAAATACAATATTATTACCTTAGTACGAGTGGAAGTCCTGTTCTTAACACGCAACATGTCGACATCCATTCTAAACTCGCCCCTCGCGCGTCATCGCCAACTGGCACCATCAGCTGCCGTTCGTGTTTCCCCACTATGCCTTGGTGCCATGAATTTTGGCGATGCACATAAGGAGAGGATGGGCGAATGTACCAAGGAGACTGCTTTTGAGATACTTGATTATTTTTTTAGCCAGGGTGGCAATTTCATCGACACGGCAACTGGCTACCAAGCTGGACAATCGGAGATGTGGTTAGGGGAGTGGATGGCCACACGAAAGAATTGCGATCAGATTGTCCTTGCTACGAAGTACTCTGGCGTAAGCAGACACAATGTTCATCTCAAGACGAACTTTGGAGGTAATGGAAGCAAGTCAATGCGTCTTGCGCTTGAGCAGTCGTTGCAGAGGCTTCAGACGAGTTACGTTGACGTGTTTTACGTGCACTAGTGGGACTATGCTACATCAATCGAGGAATTAATGCATAGCTTGAATGATCTTGTCTCATCCGGAAAAGCCTTGTACCTCGGAATTTCTGATACTCCAGCCTGGGTAGTAGCCAGGGCAAACCAGTATGCTCGCTCTAACAGCCTACGCCAGTTTTCTGTATACCAGGGGATGTGGAATGCCGGAATGCGCGATCTTGAGAGGGATATCATTCCCATGTGTCGCGCTGAAGGGATGGGAATTTGCCCGTACGGTGTGTTGAACCAAGGACGATTCCAGACCGAAGATGGGTATAAGAAGCGCGAGAAGAACAACCCTGGTCGAAAGAGTCGCCCCATACATCAGCACGACAAAGATGTCTACCGAGTCCTCGAGAAGATTTCGAAGACTAAAGGTGAAAATTTTGGGATTCTTCACGTTGCGCTCGCTTATGTGATGCAAAAGGCTCCGTATGTCTTTCCCATTGTTGGTGGCAGGACTCTAGAGCATATCAAAGGCAATATCACTGGTCTTTTACTTGCCCTCACCGAGAAGGATATCGAAGACATTGAATCAGCTTACAGATTTGACCCGGGATTCCCGCACACGTTTCTCAGCGGCACTCTTCTGAAGGGTCACGATGCTATACCAAAAGGTGCCTATAGCCCAAGCGAGGTGTGGTATGTTGATACTATGGGTACAATTGACTTCGTCGAGCCGCTAAAACCGATCAAACCAAGTCGGAGGTGAATCACCTGACAGCGACAGCAGGGCGTCTTAGCCATTGGATATCAACAGAGCTAGAGTGGTTCTAATCTCCACGGAGTAGAACAGGCTCATTTTCGAGTTAGCTTCTATCAAACCTCTCCGCTTTCTTCCCGCCGCCCTTTTTTCTTCCAAAAAAGGCCTTTACAACAAATCAATGAATCCTCGCACGTCTATCTTACTAAAAAGTAAAACAATCCTCGCGGACCTATTTGCTTTAGGTATCGTAATTGACGTGGTTGAATTAATTATGCTACTAAATGGAAGAGAAGAGTACTGTATCTGGAGCCACACACTTAATCTATATTAATTAATAAGTAATATAATAATCCTAGTATCAGATATATCAAATTATCTATTAATAAGATATCAGTTTATCTATAGATGCCTTAAGATTAAAATAAGAAATAAGATAAACTTAGAATAATATAATAAGGTTAAATAGAAAGATAGATATAATAATATATTAAGATTCTAAACTAAGAAATCTAAAAATATATAGCTAAAATCCTCTATCCTTATATTTGATTTTTCTCTTTATATTCCTTCATCTTATCAGTGAGCTCTATTACTAAGAATTCCTAAGATAAATGGCTCTTAGAATAATTCTATTAATTTCACAAATAAACTATTTAGATAAAGGTAAATATAAGATATATATTTTATATTAAAAATCTAATATCAAAGATCTATCTACTAGAAATATTCCTAAGACATCCACGCAGCCCTATGTGACGGCCTAGTACGATTTGGCTTGGCGGCACGCGGTTACTGCGGAAGTACCCACAGGCTGTCTCCCATAGATAAATTACATGCAGGAAAGATATAGGGCTAGATACACCTTATAAGGATTATTCTATATTTTAATTCACGCTATAGATTGCTAAAGGATCTATGTGATATTAAAAAGAGCAAATAGCCTTTACCAGTGTCGGAAACTTCGGTTTGATTACCGTCGAGTATAGCTAGGATAGCTATTAACGGGCGAAGTTAATAGGCTTCTAAGGTCGAAAGATCTCGATAGACGAAAGAAATAAGAATAAGATCTAAATATCCTAATTAATAAAAGATTGTATACTCAAGTTATCTTAGTTAAAAGATACTTAACACGGTTAATTCAAGATAATAGAAGAAAACTAAATATATAATAAATGAGCATTCTTATATAGCTTTCCTCCATTATAGTTATTATAATTACTTCTATACACTTGACTCTAATAAGTTTAATTATATCTATTATAGCTAAATATTAATAATTAGCTCTGATAGCTATAATAGCTCTAATCTAGATATATTTTAGCCTTTTATATAATATTTTTAAATAATCCTTTATTTTTACATATTAGCATTTCTTATTTATTAATTATTTATTAATTGTAATATTCTGATTTTCTGAAAATCTTTTTCTCTAAAAACTAGTATCTTAACAGCTTAATAAATAACTTATATTTCCTAGATATATAAATAACTAATTTTAGTTCCTAATTTTCTATAATATATAATCTTATAGCTTTATACTAATTATATCTTTAAAAAAAACATTTCTAAAAAGAATCTTTTCTTAAGAATTAAATCTATTAGAATTATTCTTATAATTTCTTATTTCTATTATACTGAACTTAAAAAATAATATATTAAATCTAAAATTTTAAAATATTATAATAAGTGTATTTATATAATTAATTATTATTATATAAACATATTATTTTTTAATCTTGTTTAGAAAAAGCTGATTAAAGTATAAAATAAGATCCATCTTTAATAAAAAGAGGCTTGTTTAAAACTTCTAAAGATAATAACTTAGTTAGAGCGTCTTAAGAAATAGAATAATCTTTTTTAAAAGTATATAGATAAGTTTATATAAATAGATATTAAAGATATTAAAGTGTTAGAAAAATTAAAAAAAATAGAAAAAGAGACAAAAATAAAATAAATAAAAAAATAATAAAAGATTAAGAAGCTTTTTATTACTATATTTATTTTATAAAATAATAATCTTATTCTTAATACTAACTTTAATCCTTTTATCTTTCTTAATTATATTTTTATTTTTATTCCTAAATCTTTTTAGGGTAATTTAAATATTTAATAAATTCCTATATATCTTTTTTAGATCTATATTCTTTCTATTTTATAAGATAATAAATATATCTCTTTTTTAATTTATATTATAGTATTTTTTTAACTTTATATTTCTTATTATCTATTACTTTATTTTTATTCATTAGATTAATGGTTAGTTCTAATAATAAAATATAAAATATTAGATATATTTGTATTCTTACTAATAGTTAAAATTTATAATTATTATTTATGAGTTTTTTTTTAATAATAATTAATCTAAATTTAATTATGTTGAATTTATTACTTAATTTTATATTTTTAATATTAAAGTTTTTTAATCTTAGTATTTATTATAGAAGATAAATTTTCTCTTTTTTTTTAAGTACTAATATATTCTTATACTTCTTATTATAATATCTTTTTATTTTTATTTCTACCTATTTAATATCTTTTAATAAATTACTATATATTAAGTATATATATATTACTTAGATATTTACTTTATTTAATATTTCTTCTTATTTAATATTTTTTTAATTTATTCTTAGAATTCTTTCTAGATTAGTAAAATAAAATACTTGTTTTATTAATACATTTATTATATTATTTATTATAAATTAAGTAAATGATAGTAATTTTATTTAATTATTAAATTCTTAAATATTAGCTTTAGAATAATATATTTTATAAGCTTATTTATAATAATAACTTCAATATATATAATTCCTAAAATAAAATCTTTTAACTTTAATAAGTCTTATATAAAATCTATTATAATTTTTTATTATGCTTTTGTTGATATTTCTAGAATCTATATTCTTCTATATAATTGATAGTTAATTAGTTTATTATAATTATAACTATTATATTTTTTAATATAATCTTTAACTAATTTCTTTATTTTTTATTTTTAAAAAATAATATTTATTATATCTTTTTTTATTATTTAATTAATTCTATAGTGTCCTTTAATTAGTAAATTATAATTTATTTAAATAACTTTTATAATTATTAAAAGTAATATTAATATTAATTCTTTCTAAATAGCTAATCTATTCTTAATTACTACTTTATTATTATATAGTACTATCTATAGTATCTTATTATTTCTAGTAGCTTTTATTATCTTATAAAAATCTTTACTTTTTATTATAATTATTATTACTAATAAATATTACTTTATTATTATAGCAAATTCTATTTTTATCTTCTATTAGTATGTTTATTTATAGTTATTATATTCTAATTATATAATCTACTCTTCTGCTTAATATATTAATAATAATATTTTCTTTTTTTTTAATATATTTAATTTAAAACTTAAATCTTAATAAATATTCTAATTATTTAATTTATTTACTAGTAAGCTCTTTAATAATTCTAAAATATTTTAGATTATAGTAATTACTTTTTATAACTATTTTTTTTTTACTTTTTATAAATAGTATCTTTATTGCTTAAAAGCTTTAATTATTATAAGTAGTTCTTTATTATAAATATTATAGTTTCTTTCTATAGTGGTAAATTATCTAAAGTAAAAAATAATAGGTCTTAATTTTTTATTATTTTTTAATTATTTTAAAATAATTTTTAATATATCTTAATATATTTAATTAAATTATATTTATTTTCTCTAGATTATAAAATATAAGAATTAATACTTTTTTAACTAATTCTTTAACTTTCTTAAATACTTAATTAAATTCTTAATCTTTTTATAATAATTCTATAATTAGTTATATTATTTTTATATAGCTTTTTAGGTATTTTCTAATATATTCTATTACATCTAAGAATTGTTATATTTTATTAATATTTATTAGAATAGGCTAATTAAGTATTATATCTTTCTTTTTTAATTAGATTTTTAATTTTTCTAGTATATAAATTATTTTTAAGTAATTAATAATTACTATATTAAACTTATACTTTTTAATCTTAAATATTAATTTTTTATAAGTATTATTGTAACTAGTTATATATATTTTTTATATTCTTTTAGATTTTATAAGTATATAATAATATTATTAAAATAAATTATAATAAACTTATTTAGGTACTTCTATAGATTATAATAACCCTATTAAATATTAAAGATTATTATAATCTTTATTTTTTATAAAAGATTTTTCTTTTATTTCTAATAAAGTGTTTTATTTATAGTAATATATATATAACCAGAATATAGAAAAATATTAATATAATTAATATCTATTAATAAGAAAGATATAACTAAAAGAATAATTATTAATTATAAAGTACTAAATAATAGAATAATAAATAATAGTAATATATAATTATTTTTTATTTTCTATTTTATTCTTTTTATATTATTATTATTTTAATAATATAATTAGATATGTTGATTTCTAATATTATTAATTTATTATTATTAAATTATACTAATATAGATATAGTTATTAAATAATATTTTATTTTTTTAAAGGTTTTTTTCTATTCTTTTATCTATTTATATTTAATGTTCTTTTTAAGTAATCTAAATATAGATATTATAATATTTATATATTTTTTTTATATCTCTAATAATAGTTAATTATTCTAATAAATAATTATTCTAAATTATAGAAATCTTCTATATATTTTTTATTATTAAAACTCTTGTTTTTTCTATTTAATTTTAAATAGTTTATTATTAATATTAATTACTATTTTAATAAAGTTATTAATATCTTCAAATTAATTTATTTTAATTAATTCTATCTAAACTTTTTTTTTTTAATATATTTTTAAATATAGTAATTTATACTCCATTATTATATTCTAATAGTGCTATTATCTTTTAAAATTCTATTATTAATTTTTAAGCTAATCTAGTTTATTATAAATATTTTAGTTTTTATTTAGTGATATATATTTTATTAATATTTCTAAATAATTATATAAATTATTTTTTAAAGCTA